GGGTCCAGGGTTTAGGGTATAGGGTTTAGGGTTTAGGGTTTCGGGTTCAGGGTTCAGGGTTTAGGGTATAGGATTTAGGGTTTAGGGTTCAGGGTTTCTGAAAAGAAACGTCACAGCAAAAGGCCAAGGCCTCCTTCAATGGGGACCCCCCTCTGTGAGGATTCTGAGGCCACGAGCCTGTTCACTTCCTTGCGCCTCCCCGTTGCTTCTTGAACGGTTTAGGAAGTTTTTTATCACCTCTTTTCCTTCGCCTGATAAGGGTTCCGGAATACCACGTTGGTTGAGGCAGTGAATAGGAGGTTTAGGAAGTTTAGGGGTTTAGGGTTTGGTGGTCTTCTGCTTTGCTTCATTAAGACAAGACAGTAAGGGAGGGACAACAGAGTGCAAGAGGCACCCAAAGCCTTCTTGGCAAATCTAGACTGGGGATGTATCTTATTATAAGCGCTGCAAGGAAGCATAGGCAAGCTTACTTGGGGGTTCCCGAAAAATAGGGGACCCTATTATAGTACCCTAAATTGTAGGATCCTTATTATAAGGATCCCCAAATAAGGTACCCTAACTTTCGGAAACTCCCACTTAAGTGAACAGAGCCTCCAAGCACACATGACAGGCTCTCCCCAAGGTCTCTCCTCTGTGAGACCACGCCACCAGCCTCAGCGATCCGGCATCCGGTGCAAGATGGGGGTTTTCCGGAAATAGGGGACCCTAATATAGTACCCCAAAGAATAGGATCCCTATTATAAGAACCCCAAATTAAGGTACCCCTTATTTTCTGAAACTCCCAGATACCTCTAATGCATGAGCAAACGGGGGATTCAGCTGTAAGTTCTGTTATACTTATACAGTCTTCATAGGGCGACCCAAAGTTCTAGACTGCAGACATGCCAACTGCTTTGCAGCCCCATTGTTAGCAATTTCGAGGTATCTGGGAGCTTCAGAAAATAAGGGGTACCTTAATTTGGGGTCCTTATAATAAGGGTCCTACTATTTAGGGTACTACATTAGGGTCCCCTACTTTCAGAAACCCTAAACCCTAAACCCCCAAACGTAAGGGTCCCCTATTTTCGGAAACTCCCATATAGCACCCTAAATAGTAGGATCCGTATCATAAGGACCTTAAAATAAGGTACCCCCTATTTTCTTAACCCTTAACCCTAAACCCTAAACCCTAAACCCTAATATTAGGGTCCCCTATTTTCGGAAACTCCCATTTGCAGCTTCGCTGCTTTGTGTTGGGTGTTCCCAGCCCGGCTGCAGGCAGCGGCGATCATCGATTAACACCTGGCATAGGGAAACGGGAAAAGGGTTCAGGGTTTAGGGTTTAGGGTTTAGGGTTTAGGGTTTAGGGTTTAGGGTATAGGGTTTAGGGTTTAGGGTTTCGGGTACAGGGTCTAGGGTTTAGGGTATAGGGTTTAGGGTTTAGGGT